GCTCCATACAGAGTATAAAACTGCATTGTCTCCTTCTTGTGGGAGTTCTAAATTCAAAACTGAGCTCATTTGTTAAAATTTAAAAATTATCTTTAAGAAGTTGTAAAGTGGTTTCAATTCAGGTGCCAATTTGTGAGTATAGTGCATTTTCATCAATGTCACTTTGATGTAGTTACATTAAAGCGATAGTATCATGAATTAGAAATAACCTCAGAGTCTAAATTCTGGTTATGTTCGTGTCATTAACTCTGTGACCTTAGCCAAATCACATAATGGGGTCTGAGCTGATTTTTTCATCTGCACAGGGTGCAGTAATACTTTACTTACATTTAAGCCCAACTCACATGATTGGGGAATTGTTAGGCAGTGACTAGTAATGTAGATGGCCATATGCAGATGGTAGATGTCAGAGAAGCATTGTAGGGAAAAGATTGGAGTCAGTCAACCAGAGCAGGACTCCTAGTTAGCCTGAGTAAGTGCTACTTATCCACACACACCATTTTTTTTCTTGTTAAGCCATTGTTTTCTGAGCTGTAAAAAATAGGCAGGTCTGAGGATATAGCTCAGTGGAAGAGTATTGGCTAGCATGCTTAAGACCCTGGACTCAATCCTCACCACAAGAAAGAAAGGAAGAAAGGAACAAAGGAAAGTAAGGTACGTAGGTTGATATCTCTTCTTCTATCCTTAGAAGTGTGTTGGATTCCAGTGGGTTTTGTTTCTTTAAATTTTGGAGTATATACATATGCATCATGAAGTGTCTAGAGCCCGCCCTTAGCGTTTTCTAGCAAGGCGGTCCCTCTACTACTTGAGCAGTAGCTCCACTTCTAGCTTTTTGCTGGTTCATTGAAGATAAGAGTCTCATGGAGGGGCTGGGAAGGTGGCTCAGTGGTAGAGCACTTGCCTTGCATGCCTGAGGCCCTGGGTTCGATTCCCCAGCACCACATAAGCAAAAAGAAAAAAGCCGGAAGTGTTGCTGTGGCTCAAGTGTTAGAGCGCTAGCCTTGAGCTGAGGAGCTGAGGGACAGCGCCCAGGCCCAGAGTTCAGGCCCCACGACTGGACCCCCCCCAAAAAAAGAGTCTCATGGAATTTTCCTGTCTGGGGTGGTTTTGAACTGAGATCCTCAGAGATCCTCAGATCTTAGCCTCCTGAGTAGCTAGGATTTCATGTGTGAATCACTGATACTCAGTAGTGTTGAGTTTTTGAAAGAATGCCCCCATTCCCATTCCAGGTTTGATTTCTGAATTGGAGTGCTGGCAAGGAAGGTGCTCTACTACATAAGCCACACATCTAGTCTCCCTCTTTCAAAGAGAGTCTTGCTGTGTAGTCTTGGCTGGTCTTGAAATTTCCTCTTACTGTATCCTCTCAGAAGCTGGGATTATAGGCATGTACCACCATGCCCACCTTTCTTTTTGCAAGGATTTTGAGTCAGGTAATTCTATCTCTGTGTCTTGGCTTAGGCCTGATCTCTTTTGCTTAAGCACTCAGGCCAAGGGGGTAAACTTTTTCCCTCAGTAATTATTTTGTTCTTAGATTCAGGGTGTTTTAATTCCTGGTATTTCAAGGGCAATTATCTAGATGGAAGTAAAATAAAGTTTTTTTTTCCTTTGAGGAAAAAGTCTTTGAAACTAGGACAACAAAAACAGCCCAGATAAAACCTAGTCATTAACAACAAAAACATAATCCAAGTGGTTTTCTTATGTGTAATAACTCCTGATGAAAGTTGGGGTTAGTTAATTACTCGGTTAATTATTAAGCATATTCTTTAAAATTTTTTTCTGTGACATTGGCTGATGTTTCTATAATGCTTATTTAAGACAAAGTGTACAAAGTAAGCAAGGTTCTTGGGAAGATGGTAACAAGAGTGTAGTCCTATAAAAATATTTAGTAGTAGTGTTACTTTACCTAAGCATACTTGCTTAATAGGTAAGTGTCCCAGTTGCTTGCATTTCAAATCACATCCACGAATGATGCAATTCTGGCTGCGCAAACCCATAATTATTTTTCAGGTATTTTTTTGGGAAATGTAGAATCATTGGCCAGCTTAATTCCTTCTTAAGGAAAACATTACAGAAAAGAAAGTCAGAACTGGATTTCCCGGAGTTTTTAAAATTTTGATGTGATCTACAGCAGCTCACACCTGTAATCCTAACCATTCAAGAGGCTGAGATCTGTGCTAGGAATATGGCTTAGTGGTAGAATTCTTGCTGAACATGCATGAAGCCCTGAGTTTTATTCCTCAGTACTACATAAACAGAAAAGGCTAGAAGTGGCACTGTGGCTCAAGTGGTAGAGTACTAGCCTTGAGCAAAAGAAGCTCAGGGACAGTGCCCAGGCCCTAAGAAATTCAAGCCCCAGGACTGGCAAAAAAAGCGCTTTTGTTGTTGTTGTTGTGGCTAGATATCAATCTCTATGCTATCTATTCCTTTAAAAGCCTCCTTTTCTTCTCAAGCCACATCAGAGAGTGGGAGTAGCCCTCCCCTGAGTTCCAAGAAGATGAAGCTTGGTTAGGTTTAAATCACTAAATATCTCATTCCTGATCCAATTTAAGCCAGGGAAAATGCAAGAAAGAGTCAGCTGGGGCTTCTGGGAAAAGAAGCTTTTAGAGTGACATGCCTCCACCCCTTCCTTTCTCTGTCTTACCCAAAAAGTCTACTCTTCCTTACAAACACAACTCTCAGATATCTAGACCTTCCAGTGAATCAGCAAAAAGCTGAAAGTAGAGCTGTGGCTCAAGTGGTAAAGTGGCAGCTTGAGCAGAAAAAACTCAGGGATAAAGCTCAGGCTTTGAGTTCAAACTCCACAATTAGCACGCACACACACACACACACACACACATACACACACACATTCTCTCTCTCTCACACACACATGAATATCTGTGAGGATATATTTGAATTTGAACTTCTAGGCCTTTATGACACACTGAGAGATAAATTCGTTGATAGCTGTGTGTTATTACTGAGTGCTGGGTACATATTCTTAAGGGAAGAACTGATCTCACATCCTAGAACTTTGGTTCCCCTCTGCCCTGCTGCAGAGGCCTTTAGTCCCCCTCTCAGGAGCCATCACATATCCACGTTTCCATTGTTACTCTCCAAGGAGGGTTCTTCCTGCCTTGCCTTCCAGTGTCTGCTGTCTGGAACAGAGTGTTAGTCTGCAGGGGAGGAAGCATGATGGGAGGAGAGCTCTACCTGCAGGAAATGTAGGGTTTGCTTTGCACAGTAGCGGGTGATTAGAAAGGAAAGAAAGGGAGGAAGCAGCTTGGTGGCTGGAGGCTCAGATTGTGCCAGATTTCCATTTTGGGAGACTTTCCTCCTATTCTGTTATACAATCACCATGTTTTAATCTTTTATTTCCTATTTAACTCTGAAGTTGCTTAATGGTAGTGGTGTTTGAAGATAGTATGAATATGATTGAAAAAACCAAAGAGAAAACTATGTTTTTTCTTCTACTCATTGTGATTTTGAAAATGGAAGTTAGAAAAGTTGCTTTCTTTGTATATTTCTATTCCCTCTATCCATCCATAATGGACTAATTTTACAATTAGAAATAGAAGCCATTCATGGCTTAACTGTCTTTTTATTCCATAGAAGGGATAGTTTTCTCATTAGGATATTTGCAAAAGTTACAAACAGCAAAGCTTATTATGTTTTACCAGTGCCAGGAACACGAGAATTAAATGAAGACAGATTAAAAACCGGGATGAGAAGAGGAAGGGTTGGGGCTTCCCCTGTGGGCATTCATTGCTCAGAACCCAGTGGGCTTTTTCCCTTGCTTCCTCCCTAGCTTCTTTCACATCTCTGGGGTTTGGCTTAAGCTCTCAGGACCACCCTGAGCCTTAAACTGTATTGTAAAGAAAGTTTTATTATATAAAGCTCTCTTCTAGTTCAGGCATGCTTTAACATGGCCCAGAAAACCATTTGATAAGTAGTAATCACACACTCATTTCTAGTTTCATGAGGATTTTGGATGTTCTGGTGGAAAGATGGAGATTGAGGGCTGAAGTAGGCCTCTGGGAAGGAGGAGGGAAGGTGCTGTGATTTAGGTGTGGTCTGAATGTCTCACCAAATTCCATTGTAATTAAAGTCTTGGTCCCCAGGCTGGCACTATTGGGAGGTGAGGATGTAGTGGAAGATGTTTAGGTCATTGGGGCAGGTACTTGAAAGGGACTGTGGGATCCCAGTCTTTCTCTGACTTCTTGTTTGGTCATATAAGCTCCCCACCCCTACAAGTTCACAGCAGTGTACTGTAACCAGTTGTCCTCATTAAAAGTTAAACAAATGGGGCCATTGATGTTGGACTCTGAACCTCTGCAAAAAAGAGCCAAGTAAGCCATCTTAATCTTTGTGTCTTTGGTGCCTCAGGTATTTTGTTGAAGTAACAGCCTAGCTGATGAATATAGAAGGGCTAGCAATATCTGTGCTCAACATTGTTATGGAAAACAGAGTCAAAATTCCATTTGGCCATCTGGACATCAAATAGGCATGTTAAGATTTTCTTCTTTGGTTTGACACGTGAGAAATTTTTTTGACAACACTGGACTTTGAATACAAGGCTTAGTGTTTCATGGGCAAGAGCTCTTCTGCTTGAGCTCTGCCTCCTGCCATTTTTCTCTGGTTATTTTTGAGATCAGGGTTTGTTTTTTGCAAGGTTGGATCTGGGCCTATTTACATTTCCTGTTGTAGCTGAATAACAAGCACACCACGCCACACAGCTTTTTCTGTTGAGATAAGAGTCTTGCAAACTTTTCTGCCTGGGCTGGCCTTGAACCTTGATCCTTGCACTGTCAACTTCCCAGAGAGCTGACAGGTGTGTGTCACCTGTGCCTACCTGTTGTTTGAGATGAGGTTCTTACAAAGTTTTTTTCCCCCTATGTTGGCTTAGAGACACGATCTTTCTGATCACCTGATTTTTTTTTTTTTTTTAAGGATGGGTTTGACAAATGAGGAGGAAATTTCTCTGATAGAAACTGACCTAAAACATTTCTTTTCATTTTCAGATCTTATATTGTACTTTAAACACACCTAAAATTGACATGAAAAGACTCCTAGGAGGGCAATTAGGTCTTGAAGATTTCATATTTGCCCATGTGAAGGGATTAAAAAAAGAAGTGAACGTCTATAAATCTGAGGATTCACTTGGACTCACCATTACTGATAATGGTGTTGGCTATGCTTTTATCAAGGTAAGTTAAAAAAGAAAACAACATTGTGCCCTAATTGAGGATAACATTTAGGAAAATTGATCACATCAGAGTAAATTAAAAATGAACTAGATGAGATGATCCATCCCTGTAATTCCCAGACTTGAGAAGCAGAGGTAGAAGGATCACAAGTTCGAGGTTGGCCTGGGCTGTTACACAGTGAGACTATGTCCCAGTTCGAGGTTGGCCTGGGGTGTTACACAGTGAGACTATGTCGCAGCAAAGAAAAGACAAAAAAAGAAAAGAAAAGAAAAATAAAAAGGAAGATCGGAGGAGATCTTCAGTGTGGAAGCTGGATCAGCCCAGCCTTTATGTCTAAATTGGTAATGTTTAACTTCAAGAAAATGGTCATCCAGGTAAGCTAGATCATCTCAGGATGGTGAGATTTGAGAATCCCAGTTCAAAGCCAGCCTGGGTAGGAAAGTCGATAATCCCTTCACTTAGTCACCAAAAAGCCAGAAATAGAGTTGTTGCTGAAGTAGTAGAAGGATAGTCTTGAGCAAAAATGATAAGGAACAGCAACCCAGTCCCTGAGTTCAAGCCACAGTACTGGCATAACAGCAACAATCAAAATAAAAGTCAGAAGAACAAAAAAGAAAGGATAGGGAGAAAGAGAAGAAAGGAAAAAAGTGACCAAAAGGCATCATTTTTTCTTTTTTTTTCTTTCCTGCCCCCCCCCCCACCGACATTGTAAAGCTCGTTTATCATTTTTTCTTGACCCTTTCTTTGAATTTCTTTCTTTAGCAAAGGAAAACGTGGCTACAGCTCTGGCACAAGGTCACTTCTTGCTGATCTCTAGTGACTTGTTGTGACTTCTTTTCAAAAAAATTTTTTTATGTATTTATTTATTTTTGAGAGGGATTTATTTGTTTATTTGTTTGTTTTGTCAGTCATGGGGCTTGAACTCTGGGTCTGGGCGCTGACCCTGAGCTCTTCAGCTCAAGGCTAGCCCTCTACAACTTGAGCCAAAGCACCACTTTTGGTTTTCTGCTGGTTTATTGGAAATTAGAGTCTCACAAACTTTCCTGCCTGGGCTGACTTTGACCTAGGATCCTCAGATCTCAGCCTCCTGAGTAGCTAGGATTACAGGCGTGAGCCACTAGTGCTTAGCTTTTATTTATTTTTTAAATTTTATTTTATTCTAAAGATGCTGTACAGAGGGGTTTCAGTTACATGAATAAGGTAATGAGTACATTTCTTGTCGAACATTGTTACCCCCTCCTTTGTTTTTTTTTCCCTACTATCCCTTCCCTCCCCCATTTTGAATGTTATTATCTTTAAATAGTTGTACAAAGGAGTTGCCATTCAAGATTTATTTTGTTACTTCTAACTGCACAGATTTTTGCCAACCTATTTAATTCTTTTAAAAAGTTATTTAAAATGATCCAAATAATATAGTTGTTTTATTTAGATATAAAGAGTAATGTGGAGCTGCAAAGGCAAGAGAAAAATGTTTGACATGGTATAGAAATTATAACTAAAGAGGGGCTGGGAAGGTGGCTCAGTGGTAGAGCGCTTGCCTTGCATCCCAAGGCCCTGGGTTCGATTCCTCAGCACCACATAAGCAAAAAGAAAAAGCCGGAAGTGGTGCTGTGGCTCAAGTGGTAGAGTGCTAGCCTTGAGCTGAAGAGCTGAGGGACAGCACCCAGGCCCAGAGTTCAGGCCCCACAACCGGACCCCCCCCCAAAAAAGAAATTATAACTAAAGAGAGAGAAAAATAGACATCTCTTTAAAAGTAATTCTATTGTAGTGAGTACAGCTGTCCCTCAATGACTGGTTGGAATTGCTTCCAAGTTCCCCTGGCATGCTGAAATCTATAGATGCTCAAGTATTTAATATAAACATCATAGCATGGCCATATAATCTATGCACTTTGTCCTGTACAATTTAAATCTTCTTCTGTAGATTACTTATAAGTGTTATGGAGATGTGAAAAATGTCCATGTATGTTCAGAAAAGATGCAGCATTTCACATTTCTTTTGGGTTGGTACCTTACTCTGCTGCCCAGGCTAAGAACTCCCTTGTTCAAGTAATCCTTAGGGCTGACTAGAGTAATAGTAACAGCTGTCTTATGTTGAATGCTTACTGTATAGTAGGCACTTTGCATGCATTTTCTCATTTAATTCTACAATTTTTCTATTTTGTTGGCACTATATCTTTTCTCTTTATTTGCTTTGATGTTGCATTTTAACACATTTTGATGTACAGTTTAGTGAGTGTTTATGCATTAACACCTGTGTAGCTGCCACAGGATCCATGGAAATTTCATTTCTGTCACTCTGAAGGCTTGGCCACCAACACCTCCTGTCCCCCCACCATTGGCTTGTTTTTGAAGTATACATAAACACACATTATGTCCTCTGATGCTTCTGATTTATTTTTAACATAATGTCCCTGGGCTTTGTCTGTGGTAGGTCATTTTAGGAATTTCTCTTTTACAGATGTAAAAATAGAATCAGGAAGATTCAATCACTTGCCCCAAATTATATAGCTGGATAAATTCATGATCTGAATCTAAGAAATCTGACTGCAGAGCTAGTGTTCCTAAGTGCACTGAGCTAAGAATTAGTGGTGGCTTCAGGCAACACAGTATGCTGTATGCCTGTTTTATCTAAACCCTGATTTGCTGACACACTGTCATCACTGAAGCAATATTCCTAGGGAAGTTATCTTGACTGTAAATGGTACTCTGGTTTACCCCTAGAAATAGCAGCTATTTTTAGCTCTGCAAAAGATATGACTGTGCTTCTAGTTGAGCATATGAGCCAATGGAAAATGTGTGAGTTGAGAAAGTCATGTGGGCTAATCCCAGGGAAGCTCAGGACATGAGCTACATCGGCAGTGCCTTTTGAATGTCAGCTGAGGAGGCTTGGGAAGGTTTGCAAACATGTGTGGAGTTTTTAGATGTTGACCTGTGATGTTTAGAGATTGTGTTTCTACATTTTAAAATATGCTCTGTTAGACATGTGCCCGCCTCAGAGAACTCATCACCAGCTGTGGGAAAACAGGGTACCTTGGTAGCAAAAGAGAAAGGGCCAATGTAGAGGTTACTTTATTCTATTTTATTTTAATTTTTGTATTGTTATTATAAAGGTGATGTGCAGAAGGATTATAGTTCTATAAGCAGGTAATGAGTAGCTTTCTTTTTGGACACTGTCACTTCCTTCCCATATACTTTCTATTTTTTCCTTAAGGTCATGTTAAAAGAGGGATTCATATTATACTGTGGTCATTGTTGATAATATTTTAGAGAATATATTGTTTATATATATATTTAAAGTATGTTCCATATGGCAGTGAAAATACATGATTTGAAAAGAGGAGCAAGCTGCTTCTGGGTCTACCTTGCTCTACTTTTTTTTTTTTTTGTTGGTCGTGGGTCTTGAACTCTGGGCTTGGGCACAATCCCTCAGCTCTTCAGCTCAAGGCGGGTGTTGAGCTACAGCAACACTTCCGGTTTTCTAGTGGTTTATTGGAGATAAGAGTCTCCTGGCCTTTCCTGGTAGGGCTGGCTTTGAACCGTGATCCTCAGATCTCAGCCTGTTACGTAGCTAGGATTACAGGCGTGAGCCACCGGCACCAGCTGCTCTACCTCTTGATATAAGTCTGTATTTAAAAGTTCATCTAGCTTGGACCATTTTGTTTTTAGAGATGGGTATTTTCTTTTGTCTCATGTTTGGAAGAAATGCTTGATTTGAAAGCATTACATTACTGTTCTAAGAAGCAGCATAGGAGAGAGATGCTGCTGAGTTTATTTTTTTTCCTTTTTCTTTTTTTTTTCTTTCTTTCTTTTTTTTTTTTTGGGTGCTGGTACTGTGGATTGAACTCAGAGCCTGAGAACTGCCCCTTAGGTTTTTTTGCTCAAGGCTACTGCTGGACCACTTGAGCCACAGCTCCACTTCTGGCCTTTTGTTGGCTAGAGTTAAGAATTTCACAGACTTTCATGCCTCAGCTGGCTTTGAACTGCAATTCTCACATCTCAGCCTCCTGAGTAGTTAAAATTACAAGCATGAGCCACTGGCACCTGGCCAAATTGTTTTACTACTTGAAATGATCCTATATTTAAGAAAGATTACATATAGAAAGATTGCAGTAATAATATACAAAGTCATCATTTACCTAAATGTCCAATTGTTACCATTTGTTACATTTGCCTTGCATTCTTAATCTCATACACATTTATGTATATATGTTATATTTCTTTTACCCTTTATATTTGTGAGTATAATTAGTAGTGATATGATGTTCTCTTGCATCTAACTATAGTACAGTGGCAGAGTTCAGACAATCTAACATTGATACTTTGAAACTAACCTGTAGTCTAGATTGCAATTCTATCATTTATCTTAGCTAATAGTGTTCATACTTCCTCCTCATTACAGGTCTGATCTAGGATCCTACTTTTCATTTACTTGGCCTGTCTTTTTAATCTTAGTAAATCTAGAATAAGTCAGCCTTTTCCAGGACATCTCTTGATCTGGGATTTTCTGGTCATGTTGAGAGGAACATATGCATTCTGGGAGGGAGATACAAGGGCCATGCTCTGGCCTCTGTTTACCACATCAGAAGGGACATGACATTGACCTGTCTTGTTATTTGTGATGATAATTGTCGTCACTTGTCTGAAGAACTCTAGGCCTGTGCATTGTCCCTGAGCTCTTCAGCTCAAGGCAAGTACTCTTCCACTTGAGCTACAGCACCACTTCTGGTTTTCTGGTGGTTTATTAAAGATAAGAGTCTCAAGGATGTTCCTGCCAGAAATGGCTTTGAACCGTGTTCCTCAGATCTCAGCCTCCTTAGTAGTTAGGATTACAGGGGTGAACCACCAGCACCTGGCTTCCACCAGTCTTTTTTACTTCAAAGTTATTATGTTTTCTTCTTTCTTTAATATGTAATTGTGGGAAGATACTTTAAGATCATGAAAACCCTTATTTCGGGGCTGGGAAGGTAGCTCAGTGGTAGAGCGCTTGCCTTGCATGCGTGAGGCCCTGGGTTCCATTCCTCAGCACCACATAAGCAGAAAAATCCAGAAGTGGCGCTATGGCTCAAGTGGTAGAGTGCTAGCCTTGAGCTGAAGAGCTGAGGGACAGCACCCAGGCCCAGAGTTTAGGCCCCACGACTGGCAAAAAAAAAAAAAAAAAAGAAAGAAAACCTTTATTCCCTTATACTCCACTGAGCTGGTAATATCTACTGGTCTCTCTTGCCTGAATCAATTTTTCTTATAACGGTTGCAAAAAGATGACTTTTCTAATAGTTTCTTTTCTTACCCTTTCTTTCTTTCTTTCTTTCTTTCTTTCTTTCTTTCTTTCTTTCTTTCTTTCTTTCTTTCTTTCTTTCTTTCTTTCTTTTGTTCTTTCTTTCTTTCTTTCTTTCTTTTCCTTCCTTCCTTCCTTCTTTTTTTCTTTCCTTTCCTTTCCTTTCCTTTCTTTCTCTCTCTCTCCCTCCCTTCCTCCCTTCCTTCCTTCGTTCCTTCGTTCCTTCCTTCCTTCCTTCTCTCTTCCTTTGTCTCTTTCTCTCTCTCATCTCTCTTTTTGGTGGTACCAGGCTTTTAACTCAAGGCCTGATATTCTACCACTTGAGCCACATACACTCAGTTCGGAACCTTAACAATAAATATTCCCCAAGGCAGTGAATGAGAGTGGCCTGAGAATATTAGTTTGTTACTGTGAGCAGGGTTGAGGACAGGGTTGGAAGGCTCAAGGGTGCAGGTCTCAAAATTGCCACGTGTGGCTGCAGGGCCACCTGGAGTCCTGTGCCTAGAATTTGGGGAGTGGAAGGATGCCACCCTCGAGTAGTGCTTATATTAGTGGTGAGGCCATTGTGCTAGATATGCAGAGGATGAGTATGATGGAAGCTTCTATATCATAGTGATTGAAAATGATTGGGAACCTTTATGTTTAATTATGGATTCCTGTCTCCCAAGAAATATCTAGTAAGCAGCCTGCTGTTGTAGCCTCAGTATCAAAGCCAGATGAAAGTCTTTGAGTGAAGAATAATGTAAATGATTCAATAAACATGATTTTAGCATGAATATCCTTTTCCATGCCTTAGTCCTTCAAATCTCAATCACAACTCTTAGCAATATTATCAATCTCTATCCCGTTATTGCATGATTGTGAAAATACATTGGATTCAGAAACTTACCTCCATTGATTGTTCATTCAACATACTTATGAGGCTAAGGCTTGGTAACCTATACAATAATCAGCGTCACCTACTTTATTTTTGTATCTGGTCCACCTCCTGGTGTTCTTTAAGTTTCTTATGTTGATTTTCCTTTCTCTTCCTTCTAGATCTTTAGCTGCTGCTGGTTGCATATGCTTTCACTGTTTCCCCCTGGGTTTCACTTGGATTCTCACCCTGCCACTTATTCTCACTTCTGCCTTTTCTCCATCCATCTGGGCACTTTTCTGTGACCGTTATAGCTGCTCATAGGCCTGGGCAATGCTAGATGGCTGTTACTCTGACCTGTAATTCGTTGGTAAGAAACTTGCATGCCTTTTAAGTCTTCCATGTAATTAACTTTATGTAATGCTTATATAAAATAAAATTATAATGATAAATCTTAAAACTAAAAATACATGGTGGGAAACTGAACTTTGTATGGTACAATTGATCAAATAGGTTAAAGGTACATTAAGAGGTGAATTAACATAAAAAGAAAAAAGTTGAAGGGCAACTATGGATTTAGAAAACTCTTTAATGGTTTAAGAATGTTTATGTAGCATTATTATGTTTTTTTCTTCTTTTCTGTTTGATCTCTTGTTTCATCTTGCTTCTTTTTTTGGTTTATGTGCCAGTACTCAGTACCTCATGCTCTTGCTTAAATTTTTCTGCTCAAGGCTGGTTCTCTACCATTTGAGCCATACTTGGACTTTTTCTTGTGTTAATTGGAGATAAGAGCCTTTTAGATTTTTGTACTCAGTATGGCTTTTTAGTCAGATTTCAGTATGTTTCTTACTCAGATCTCTTCCTCCTGAGTAGCTAGGATCACAACAGGTAAGAGCCCTTGGTACCTAACCTTAATCCTATTGTTGTTGTTGTTTTTTCTGGGACAGTTCAGCATTGAGTGGCAAGTTATGGTTACATCATTTTTTGCTAACTAATGAAAGTTTCTAGACTAGGAACTTTCTGGCATCTTATAATTAGCTGTAATAATAAATAATCTTTCTTGAAGTAGGCATTAGTATATAATATGCATATTGACATGTTAATGGTGAATTGTAATTAAATATAGCAATATACTTAAAATTTGTGGAGAAAAATATGTTGTGAGTTTTGGTATGTAATCATATAATTTACCTTTTAAAGTGCCCAGCCTTTTTAGATTTTTGTTTTCTAATGTTCTGCTAACAATATTTTTGAGATAATGGGGTACCATGAGTTTCTGTAAACTTGACACCCAATCCCTGGCTCCATGGATTGAGATGGGACACCTCCACCTGGCAAGGCTGGAGAGCATGCATGTTTTCATGACACAGCAGTAGAGCTCCAGCATGTCTAGTCTGTCCCTCCTTTCCAGGAAGGCTTTGGGCATCCTGAGGCCTACCGTGGCCTTTATTGTGCTTCTCTTTTCATTGCTGTGGAGAAACTTATACATCCTAGAAGGCCTGTTATTCTGACAAGGTTTTCTGGCATTCCTGTTTCTAAAATTCAGAAATTCTTTCTTTAAAATACATTTTTTAATTGTAAAAATACTGTACAGAGGGGTTACAGTTACATGAGTAAGGTAATGAGTACATTTCCTATCGAGCATTGTTACCTCCTCCTTTGTTTTTCCCCTACCACCCCTTGCCCCCCAACTCCTCCTTTCCTCCCCCACAAGTTGTAAAGTTCAACTTCAGAAATTCTTGACACCATGGTTTCCACCTTGTTTTGAACCAACATGACAGATGCATTGTAGAAAAAATTTAAGAAACCTATCATGGTAGCCACATCTTTAAGCTTAGCATTCAAAAAGGAGAGGTAGAAGGATTGTAAATGACAGGGCAGTCTGGACTATATGGTAAGATCCTGTTTCAGCCTCTACCCACCCCTGCCAAGAAAGACTAGCTTACACTGGGTACCACTGGCTCATGCCTGTAATCCTAGCTACTCGGGAGGGCTGAGATCTGAGAATCAGAGTTCAAAGTGAGCCCAGGCAGCCCATGAGACTCTTACCTCCAGTTAACCAGCACCAACCCCCCACACCCCAAAAAAAACCCAAAGCAAAAAAAACCCCACATAAGCAGAGCTGTGGCTGTGATCAAGAGATATAGGAGGTGCAGCACCAGCCTTGGGAGAAAAAGCTAAGGGACAACACTATGTAGGCCCTCAGTTCAAACCCCAGTACTAGCATGTGTACATACCATACACACATACACACAGAAAGAAGGCCCAGCTAGCTTAAAGTTTCTCCTTGGATTTTAAGGATGCCTCGTCTAAAACATACCTATCCAGATATGCTGGTGCAGACTATAATTCCAGCTACTTGTGATGTGGCAGGAGGATTGAGAATTTGAGGCCAGCCTAGGCAAGGTTAGTGAAACTATCTCACAAACAAAAAAAATCAAACTAAAGGGATGAGAACATGGCTCAAGTAGTAGAGCTTTCCCCCAGCATATGTGAGGCCCTAGGTATAATCCCCAGTAATATGCATGTACATGTACACACACACACACACACACACACACAGAGTCACAACCACCACAATCATTCATTACTCTAGAGACTTCCAAAATTGCTAACCATATCTGCCTCTTGTTAGGTACTGGTCTTCTTATCTATGATCACACCAATCTTCAAATCTTTAAATTTGTAATGAAGGCTTGAAAAATGTAGCCAGTAGAAAAATCTTAAGTTCTATATGTTACAGTGGGCCTCATGTTTAAATAATTGAACATCGTTTATCACTGTGTGAGCATTGGGTTAGGCACAGGACATATAAGGATGAACACACAATCGATGACCCCAAGGTTATTACAGATTACTAATGGAGAGCAAGAAGTAAAGGGACAATTATACCATGCTGTGTTGATTCTTGTTGATTTTCCCAAGGCTCAATCTTCCCTATCTGTGATGTGAGAGTCTCATAAAGGTTGTTAGAGTTCAGTGACAAAGCAAATGTGAAATGCCTAACATAGTGCTCAGTTTATAGAGCAAAAATTACTAAGGAAGATAAGAATGTCACCATACTCATTCTTTGAGGAGTGGGTTGAGCGATATCAAGAAAAACTTATTAGAGGAGATAGTCACTTTGAGGGAATTGAATTCTGAATGATACCAAGAAAAGAATGGTTGTTTTTTTTTGGTTCATCTTTAAATAAGCATTATATTTAATTACAAATGTCAGTGTATATGTGTGTACATATATGTGTGTGCATATATGCATATGTATATGCATGTACATATACATAAATATGAAGATCAAGAAAAGTAATGTCACACAGTTCTATTTCATACTACATTATCACAATTAATTTTCTTTCTTTCAGAGGATTAAAGATGGTAGCATTATTGACTCGGTTAAAACAATCTGTGTGGGAGATCATATTGAATGCATAAACGGAGAAAATATCATTGGGCAGCGTCACTATGAAGTTGCTAAGAAGTTAAAGGAATTAAAAAAAGAGGAACTCTTTACCATGACATTAATAGAACCTAAGAAGGCATTTGGTAAGTTGTGTGTGTGTGTGTGTGTGTGTGTATGTGCACATGCATGTATGTGCATGTGGTGTGAATGAGATTTGTGAAAGATTCTTTGCCTGGTTTATCATTTTCTTTTTGTGACAGTGCCGAGCTTGAACTCAGAGCCTCTGCACTCTCCTTTAGCTTTAGCTCAAGGCTGGTGCTCTACCATTTGAGCCATACCTCCACTTCCAGCTTTTTACTAGTTAATTGGAGATAAGAGTCTCATGGACTTTTTAGCCCAGGCTGAGTTCAAACTATGATCCTCAGATTTCAGCCTCCTGTAGCTAGAATTACAGGCATGAGCCACTAGTACCCAGTTCTCCTGGCTTGTCTAAGGAAAGGAATAGTTTACCTTGTATATCATCTAACCTATCAGTTTAGAATATAGAAAATGATAATATTATTTATAAGAAAAATAACTACTAAAGGAAGAAAAAAGAAAAATTGCCTTGACATTGGCATTAACATTTTCTTTTTTTTATTGTGAAATTATTGTACAGAGGGATTACAATTACATGGGCAAGATAATAAGTTCATTTCTTATCAAGCATTGTAGCCTCTTCCTTTGTTTCCCCTTCCCATCCCTTCCCATCTGCCCCCCTCCCCCCCCAGGCATTAACATTTTCTTTTTTTCTATCTGTCTTGGGGCTTGAACTCAATGTCTGGGCATTGTCCCTGAGCTCATTTGCTCAAGGCTAGTTGTCTACCACTTTCTGATGGTTAATTGGAGATAAGAGTCTCCCAGATTTTCCTACTTCCTACTCAGGCTGGCTTAGAACATTGATCCTTAGATCTTTTACCCTTCTGAGTAACTGGGATTACACCGTGTGTGTGTGTGTGTGTGTGTGTGTGTGTGTGTGTGTGTGTGTCTTGGGACTTGAACTCAGGGCGTGGGTTTTGGCACTTAGCTTTTCTGCTCAAGTCTAACACTCTATAACTTGAGCCACAGCTGTATGTCTTGCTTTTTTGGTGCCTAATTGGAGATAAGAGTTTTGTGGACTTTCCTGCTTGAGCTAGCTTTGAGCTGTGATCCTCAGATCTCAGCATCCTGAGTAGCTAGGATTATAGGTTTGAGCCACCAGCACCCACCTTGGCATTGACATTTTCTAAGCAAATATTTGGAATTACAAAGTATAAGACTGCACTTGAGATAGCTATTTTAGTTTCTGAGACCAGCTTGTATAGTTTGCATTTTGCTGAGTTGAAAGATTTTTTTTTTGATTGAGATCCTTAAACCATAATGACTGTTTAGGGATCTCAGCAGCTAAGATTTTAGTTCCCCACAGAATTGGTATTTAAAATAGTATGCAGGCTATTTTAAGGACTGCTTTCACCTATACTTTTCCTCTATTGGCTTTTTGAATTGGCAGCCTGGAGCAGTATGAATTACTCTGTCTTTGGTGTGACATCTGTACTTGCCTGGTTTTAGCCATGGCAGCTGTATTCCAACTGTTGTTGAAATCTCCAGGGACATCTCATCCACACGAGAATGTTCCAGCTTCTCCTTTACTCCCCAGCACTATTTTAATAAGCCAAATGAAGGCCTAGTGCTCATCGGTGTTAAAATATCTTTAGCAGAATCATCCCATGCCCTCCCTGACTCACACATGACCCCACCCACACTATGTCCTGTCCTTTGCTCACAGGACATGAATATTTCTTCTAGTTTGTCTTTTATGTTCTTAAGGTGGTTCATGAGAGAGATTGATTTTTCCCCCTCTTTTAGCCAATAAGAAACAAGTTTGAGCTACCTCTGAGGCATTAGCCTTTCTCTGCTCCTACATGATTCTTTGCCATTGAATGGAAGGAAGTACAGCACAGGTTACATGTTTGAGGGGTGGTGGTGGGCATTTCCACAGAAGTTGTCCAGAAAGGATGCTCCTGCCTGGGCTGTGGATGGACCACTCTGCGCCCCATTCCTGGAGCTTCTGCCATTCTCCCAGTGCACTGGGTACCTGTGTTAATCTCTTACGGAGGAAGGCAAAGGGCACTCAGCCATCTCCATTAGCTCCTTTTCAAATAACTTTTTTTGCCAGTCCAGTTCCTAGATAGCATGGTGTGAAGACACTGTGAGGGTCAAGTAGTTTCAGATAAATATTGTTTTGTGTGTATGTGTGTATGTATGTGTGTGCATGCTTGTGTTTGTCAGTACTGAGACTTGAATTCAGAGCCTATGCACTATCCCTTAGCTTTTGTGCTCGAGACAACTGGCACACTACCATTTGAGCCATACCTTCACTTCCAGCTTTTTGGCAGTTAACTGGAGATGAGAGTTTCATTCTAGCTTTGACCTGTTATCCTCAGATCTCAGGTTCCTGAGTAGCTGTGAGCCACTGGTGTCCAGTTAAATATTCTTATTTGGTTTAGAGTCTTTGTAAATCAAAGATATTCTCTTCGTACTGTTCTTCCTACATTTATTCTCCAGCACATATTCTATTTTTCAGAGTAGTTGTTTTCTAATTCTTTTCCTGCTTAATCCTTTGGTCCTTGTATCTGTGTACAAAGTTTCTGATACTCCTAAACTTGGGTGCTAATTTGCTCATTGTCTTGAATGTGACAGAGTTGTCATGTTTTGTTTTATGATTAGCAATTTTTTGTCCTTCTATATCAGAGACATGTATAGTAGTTAATACACTTCACTCATGGTGATTGGACCTGACCTCCTTTACTGGATGAACTTCTTGGATATACTTATAAAGCATCCTCAGTAGAATTTTTCAGTATCTCAAATTGTGTTGGTGTTGGGGGTTTTATTTTTATTTTCCAAACTGCTGGTTTATATACATTTTCTACTCTGTGAGTTGATTCTTTATTCTAGGCCCTATTATGTAGGTTTTTCTCTTAGAAGGGAGCCGTGTATACAAGGTGGCTTATATCTGTAATATTAACTACTCAGGAGGCTGATACCTGGAGAATAGTAGTTCTAAACTAGCCTAGGCAGAAATGTCTGCTAATCTCTATCTCTAAAAAGACCAACAAAAAGCATGCTGGAAGCCAGGTTCTTGTGGTGCACTGGTAATCCTAGCTACTCAGGAGGCTGAGATCTGAGGATCATGTTTCAAAGCCAGCTCAGGCAGGAAAACTATGAAGACTCTTATCTCCAATTAGCCACCCAAAAGGCCAGAAGTAGAGCTATAGCTCAAGTAGTACAGCCCTAGCCTTGAGCTTAAAAGCTCAGGAACAATATCCAGACCCCTAATTCAAGCCCAGGACACACACACACACACACACACACACACACACACACACACACACACACACACACACACACAATATCCCGACCCCTAATTCAAGCTCAGGACACACACACACACACACACACACACACACACACACACACACACAGAGGCTTGGAAGTGCGGCTCAGGTGGTACTGTGCCAGCTGAGTGAGAGGTCCTGGATCCTGAGTTCAAGCCCTGGCATCACAAAAAGAAAGAAAAGAGAAGAAAAGCCTACCTTTGTTTTTGCCTTTGGGATAAAGAAAAATTACTTTGACCTCATCCAAGTGCTTAGTTCTGTGTCAGGGAGGAAAGCTACATCAGGAGTTTCTTGGAGGTACCAAATCTGATTAGGCTTCCTTCAATTCTCTTAGTTCTAGGCTGTATCACCTTTCTTTTTTTCTTTCTTTCTTTCTTTTTTTTTGGGTCCGGTCGTGGGGCCTGAACTCTGGGCCTGGGCACTGTCCCTCAGCTTTTCAGCTCAAGGTTAGCGCTCTACCACTTGAGCCACAGCGCCACTTCTGGCTTTTTTTTTTGCTTATGTGGTGCTGAGGAATCGAACCCAGGGCCTCATGCATGCAAGGCAAGCACTCTACCACTGAGCCATCTTCCCAGCCCATATATCTCTTTTCTTTCTTTCTATGTTTTCTAGCATTATCCACGACTCCGAGCCAGAAATTCAAATTTCTTTCTTTCTTTTTTGTGCAGGTCCTCAGACTTGAACTTGAGCTTTTCTGCTCAAGGCTAGCACTCTACCACTTAAGCTACAACTCCATTTTCAGCTTTTTGATAATTATTTGGATCTGAGAGTCTTACAGACATTCCTTCCTAGGCTGGCTTTGAACTGAGAGATTCAGCCTCCTGAGTAGCTAGGATTACAGGCATGAGACACTGGTACCCAGAAGTTTCTTTCTTTTTTTTTTTATTATTTTTTGAGACAGGTCTTTTAATTTTTTTATTTTTTAGCTTTTTAAAAATATTTTTTATTGTAAAGATACTGTACAGAGGGGTTACAGTTGCATGAATAAGGTAATGAGTACATTTCATACCTTTGTTACCTCTCCTTTGTTTTTCCCCTACTATCCCTTCCCTTCCCACTTCCCCAACTTCTCCCTCTCCTACTATCCTTCTCTGCCTCCTTCGCCCTGCCCCTGCCCATTGAGACAGGTCTTACTCTGAAGTCGAGGATGGTTTCAAACTTGATGTTTAGTTGCCCTTGGACTTGTGATTTTTGTCTTAGTCTCCCAGGTGCTGGGAATAGGGAGTTATAATACCACGTGTAGCAAAGAATTTATTTTGAATTCTTACTATGAGAAAGGACCAGTCTAAGTGAGACAGATTTTCTCTGCATTAGTGTAGCCCACCGTGGCTGAACTAGTCATTTCAAGGATCTAAGCTGTCAGAAATGGCTACATTATGTAGTATTTTGGAAATTTCCTACCAATGTCCTTAAAGGCTTAGCCATGGGATGCACATGGACTATAACTCAAAATGCAAGTGTGCCTTGCTTTGCAATGGCATAACAAGAATTGTAAGGAGGACTTCTCTATAGTAGGTAGAGTATCCTTATTGCGTGCTTCCATTTTTATATTTTAGGCCCAGGCCCAGAGGCCAGTGTATATATCAAGATTCTTTGAGATTTATAGGACAAACACCATGTAATTTAAGGACAAGCATTTGTTAGAATACTGCCAGGCAGGTCTGAAACAAAGATGGATTTGATCAAGTCTTAGGAAGGAAAGAAATCTTCAGATATATCTCTACCAA